TCTATTTTACAGATGAGGAAACTAAATCAGACAGGTTAAGTGACTTGTCCAGTGCCACACAGCTAATAAGTGTCAGAGGCAGGATTTGAACTCAAGCCAGCTGATTCCAGGCCAGCACTCTATCTACTGAGTCACCTTCTGGCTATATTTCCCCCATACCTACTCAAGCATTGTTAAGTGCTAGCAACTAGTACCTTAGTTCCATTTAACCACTTGATATCAATTAGGTTTTACAAAGAGGTATTTAAATTATTCAAAGATGTGGCAAGAAGAAAAGTACAATTGATCTTCCCAATACCTCAGAGACATACTCTCCCCTGCATCACCACAGGCTAGGGGAAGGGAAGCAGGTGGAATGCACTCATGCTTAACAAAGTTCCTATATAACCCAGCAATTTTACTTCTAGATGCAACATAACTGCCAGATGAATCTTTGTCTCAACTAGCCTGGCCTGGGTCCTTGAAAGCTACTCGTGAGGGTCATTCCTTGTCCCTTGTGACCTCAACAAAGTGCTACCTGAACTCTGACTCTGGATTCCTGTGGCTCCCTCTCCTGACCTCCACACTAACCTCCTTCACCTGAAAACAGCAAAGAACAAACATAGAAACCAAGAACCAAGACCCTTTCACAGAGTGACATGGTCTCAGCAGGGAGAAGCCTCAAGGCCTCCCCACTTAGAGCATTGTCTCCACCATAAACAGAGGAATCATGGAGGTTCCCCAAGAGCACAATGGAAGAAAATGTGGTGAAGAAAGATGGAAAGCCAACTGAAACTCTTCAAATGCCTCCGCAGCCAATCACGAAGCCTCCTATTACCCAGCTGGTTAGTTGACTATAGCCAGTTACAAATGTTTCTGCATGCTGCATGGTCTCTCCTGGAGCCTCGAAACATAATATCAGGTCTCTCTGAGAAGCTAGCTCCTTCTTCCAACTTCAAGAAGCCTATGCTAGAACCACACTGTGGAGAAATCAATCACAAACTCTTAGCTGCCAGGTCTTGCTGAAGGTCTTTGCTTGTTTTCTGAAGATTAATGAGACTTTTAGGGGCAATGAGGTGGTGCAGTGGATAGAGCACCGGCCCTGGATTCAGGAGGATCTGAGTTCAAATCCGGCCTCAGACACATAACACTTACTAGCTGTGTGACCCTGGGCAAGTCACTTAACCCCGTTTGCCTAGCCTAAAAAAAAAGAAAAAAAGATTAATGAGACTTTTGCAGCAAAAGTGTGTTAGGTCTTGGCATTATTTTTTCCTTTTCAACATACCTTCCTTTCTGCTTTGGTGAGTCTGATGCTATTTGGCTTGACGTCCCTATACCAATTAGCCACTTTGATATCTCTACCAGTCACTGAAATGTGCTCCTTAAGAATGACAACTCTTGGAGTAAAAGCAGTGACTTGCTTGAGCTCTCCCCCAAACACTTCCAAATACGTATAAAAAATGGCTCTAAACAAATTCTAAAGCAGCAGAACCCACAAAAAGAATGACAACTTTTAAAAAAAAGACTTCTTAGAATAACATCCATTCTTTGAAAGTATAGAATTAATGACACAGCAAATGCATGGTTATGGCACAAAATCCAGCACTGAACTGCAGAGCACTAACTAAATACAGGCTAACCAGACTTCTGAGTCAGCTTAGTGTCAGCAGAGGCATGCATATGCACAACATAGCAATGTGCACACACATTGCTTTCACAAAGTGAAACCATGTTAGCAATTATTGCTCGTCCCAAGTAATTCATATACCACTGTGGCTGAAGATATTGTAAAGAGGATTCCTGTTTAGGTATAGGGGAAGGGTCACCTAGATCAGAGGTGTCAAACACACTGCCCTAGTACAGAAGAACTAGATTAAAATGTAATTGGGAAATATTTAACAAAATAGATAAAAATGCAGTTGAATATGGATCATGTTAATATGTGGTTTTCTAAGTCTACCTTCAGGGATCCTTATGTAGATTTAGTGGCCCCATTTCTAATGGGGTTTGACATCACTGACCTAGATAGATAATCCTTTCCAATTCTGAGGTTTAGCGAGCTTGAGTCTTGATTCTTTTACGTACTGGAAGACTCTTGGAAAACCAGTTAAATTCTTAGAGTCTCCAACTCTATGATGGGAACAATGATACAACCTCAAGGTTGTGGTGAGTAAAGTACTCTGTAAATCATAAAACTTTCTATGAAGGTAAGCTATTCCTATTTCAGTTGGGATGTTTCCTTAGTCTCTCAGGCTCTGTGCCCAAAGAAGAGACTACCAATGTTCCATTCATGTGAACTTAAAAGAGACCTTAGAGGTCATGTAGTCCAATGGCCTCATTTTACAGATGAGGAAACAGAGGCTAAGAGCCATGTAGTGATCTGCCCAGGGTCACAGAGGTACAGAATGGCAGAGGTGGGATTCAAACCCAGGATTCAAATCCTTTGACTTTAAATCCAGAATTCTTTCCACTGGATCATGCTAGACATGCTGCATAAAGTTAAAATTTCTTCCAGTTGTGGATTCTCTTACTCAACAATGAAAGGCACTGATGACAAGGAAGTCCATTACTTAAGGATCTTTCATGTTACCAACTATCTATCAAACCACTTCCCAAACCTTCTTGGGGAGAAGAAAAGTTCAATAGAGGAAGCAATAAACACCCTTCTTTCCCTTGCTATTGACCTGTGCCCTCCCTTTCTCTGGTCCCAGGCTATCCAGCCTTCAGAGGAAAGCAAAGTCATAACTAGCTATTTTTTTTGTGTTGGTCAAGCAGCATGAAAGGTACCTTCAGATCAACTTGTTAAGATAAATTCAGTTGTTGGGGAAGGAGGTGAGAAGAGATCTTGGGTTATCCACCAAAAGGCTGTTGCTGAGGCCTCAACTGGTAGAGCTTAGGGGCAGGGCTAGGCCAGGGAGGAGCTCATCTGGGGTGCTATGAAAGGAAAGGGAGGAAGCTGGCCAGCAGGGAGTTTCCAATTTTAATCAATTATTCTTGCTAACAAGATGCTAAGCTCAGTGATTTCTACAGTTCTGATGGTTGACAAGTGTCCTCTCAATTTTGGTATCCCCGTATTTCTTGAAAACTGAGACAACAAGGCCCTGGTTGTCCCATCTTAGTTAGGGCTTCAGAGAGAGACTATCTTGGGATCCACTGAGATTCATGTTCCTTTCCCATTGCCAAAAGAGACTGTCCCGGGTGGGAAAAAGCCCAACTCTATGCAGATGTTGAGGAGGTGGTGATGAGTGGACAGGATAGCAAGCTGAGGAAGAAGCGTGTGACTGTCAAAACCCTAACAATAAGAGGTAGAGAAGGTTGAGGACAGAAACCTTGAAATCAGCACAAAATACGCAAATATCTTCAGAGGGCTACTCAGGGGAAGTTTTCAAAGGACAAATATGAAAATGAAGGAAGATAAAAAGAAGGTTGAGGTGTCTACACACACATTTATATTCATAGATTCAACAGGAAGAATTTATCGTAAGCTGATCAATTAATGACTGAGGAGGCTGATGGGCAAAGATTACTGAGACTTCTCTTATTATTATGCAAATACAGAAAATGTAGCAGGGTCTTGGAGGTGAACTGAAAGTAACTTGAATGTAAATAAATATTTGGGGCTTAGGTACTAATGAACATGGAAGACCTCAGATAATTATTAGCTCTGAGACCTCACTAGGCCTCTGTTTTCTCATTTGTAAAATGGGGGAAAGGGATTGGACAAGAGAACCTCTAAGTTCCTTTCCAGCCCTAAATCTATGATCATAGGATCTGGCAGGATCCTCAGAGAACTACAGAATGTAAGAGCTAGAAGGGACTCAGAAACCCTCTAGCCCAAATCCTCTCATTTTGCTGATGGGGAGACCGAGGCCCAGAAAGATGCAGTCACTGAAAAACTGGGTCTAGGACCCAGGATCCTGACTCCTAGACCAAGGCTTTGGCACCATATGTGCAGAAGCTGTCTCCACCTTTTTTCTAGGTCTTGTAAGGCAGGAGTTAACTTTACAGTGAAAGAGAGGAGTTAGGTTTAAGAATAATGAAGAGTTCCTTGACAAGGCTGTGGAATCTCCCTCAAACAGGAAAAAGTCTCCTCCCCTTGAAATAGCTTTTCAGCTGTTGTTCAGTTACAGCAGAACTAAATGTTAAAGATAATGCCCAACTCTTCATGACACCATTTGGTGTTTTCTTGACAAGGGTACTGGTTTGCCATTTCCTTTTCCAGCTCATTTTACAGATGAGGAAACTGAGGCAAACAGGGTTAAGTGACTTGCCCAGGGTCACGCAGCTAGGAAGTGTCTGAGGCCAGATTTGAACTCAGAAAGATGAATCTTCCTAACTCCAGGCCCAGCACTTGATCCACTGTGCCACCTAGCTTATATACTTCCAACCCAAAGAAGGGGTACAGGTTAGTGACAGAGGAGTTGGGGCAGGGGAACAGTTCTGTACCAAATGACTTCCCAAGTCTTTTCAGATGTGTGGCTCTGTGATATGAGCTTCATCAGCATCCTTCCATGGACACTGTACAATGCATGAGCATCAATATCTGAAGATCATGGGAGGTTAATTCAGAAGGAGTATGAGAAGGTCAAAGTGACAACAGCTTAGAAGGGGCAGACAATGTTGACATCAATGGAACAAGGAAGTAGCTAATGATGACATCCAACTGCCCTGAGAACAGGCAAGTCACCCCTCCAAAGTGGCCTTTCAGTCATATCCCCTAATGAGGTATTTGCTCCTAGGCACCCAAGTCTGGAAAAAAGTAAGTGTCAGCCATGGAAACTTTTTCTTGAAATACCTCTTTCTAATACTTCCGTAAGAAATCAAACCTTTTCCTTTATGGGACGCTGGATTTTCCGCAGAGTAAAATCAAGATAAATGATTTTTATTTGAAAAAAAAAAAGATGTGGTTTCTAGATTCTCTCTGCCAGTTGTCAGAATGGAGGCAGAGGTCACATGTCACTACCTCTGCCTATAAAAGTCACTGCTAGAGAGGGGACACCACAGTTCCAGCTTCAGAAGACATTTCCCTTCCTCTACCAAGTCACAAAGATCAGGATGGAGGTTGGGATAGGCATGGCTCTGTGGGTGAAAGGGATCATACTTTTGACCTGCCTGGAAGGCTATGTCTCTTCCAGTCCTATCCACAAAAACGATACCATGAAAGAAGTCATCTCACAGCTTCATTCTCTAAATACAAACCCAAAACAGGTGAGTGTGTGGAGAGGGGTCTGTGATCATCCTGTGATCAGGGCAATATATTTGTGGTGGAGGGTGGGATGTGTTCTGAGACTCATGGGGTTTAGAATAGGCAGCCTGGCTTGACATGGTTGGGTTACTGGGAGAAGAAGCTCCACCAGGAATGGGGCCAGGTCAATATTACCTATGGATAAAAAGTACCAACCACAGACAAAACCCCATGCTTGGGGCATTATCTTTAACATGTTAGTTCTGCTGTAAGCAATCACCCCTTTCACTCAATCAGCTGATCCAGTAGAAGTAAACTTTAAACTCTGAGAGAATGAACTGGGAATTCATTTAGGTTCCCAAAACAAACTGTAGCCACAGTATATGAGTATTTACTGATTTTTTAGGTTCCACTACTTACACTGGAAAAGATCAACTGACTGCCCTTGGGGCCAGCTGGGGAGAGATAGAAGGGGATTTCAATAGGCCTGGAATGTGAAGTCCAGGATCTTAGGTTCCTAAGCTTTAAAGCTCATCTTATCCAAACCTCTCATTTTACAGCCGAGGCAACTAATGCCCAAAGGTGGGATGTAACTTGCTCAAGGTTATAGAGCTACAGAGTAACTGAGCCAAGGCCTTCCAGCTAGGTTTTTGACTCCAAAGTTTATATTCTTTCTATGGCAGGGGGTGAGGGGTGGGAAGGGGTGGGTGCAGGTAGTGGTGGGAGCACTGACAAAAGGGGCATTTAGACAGACACTAAGAGGCCAAAGAAGAGTCATTTCCCCACCTCCCCTAGCAAGGAGACCAATTGCATGGAGCTGGGGGTAAGGGTCAGTCACACTGTTGACACAGGATGCCTTGGTCAAGGGGCAAAAGAGGCTGAGCCCTGTTTCAGGGTATCTCCTAATAAGAATTCTGTTTTGTTTCCTCAGCTATCCTGCAATTCAAGTATGGTGTGGCAAGTCAACTTTAGAAAGGAAAAGGTAAGAGAGACAGATGAAATACTGCCACCAATAATAACCAGAGTATCCCTAGACTGTTCCCCTGGGCTGACTTTCCTCCCCTCCAGAATTTACAGTTTAAAAGCTCTGGGTTTTACCTGATGTCTTAGCTCCTCTTATTTACCAAATTCCTTCTGCTGAGGCTGAAAAACCCTGTATTGTATATCCCATCTGTTTTACTAAGGGGATCCTTGGCAGAGTCTCTCTCTCTCTCTCTCTCTCTCTCTCTTTCTCTCTCTCACTCTCTCACTCTCCCCCTCCCTCCCTTTCTCCCTCCTTCCCTCCCTTCCTTCCTCTCTCTTTCTCCCTCCCTTTCTTTCTTTCTCCCCCTCTCCCCCCTCCCCCTCCCTCTCTCTCCTCAACTCTTTTCTTTATAAACCAAGCTTTCCTCAGCCATAAGCACTCAGGGCCGTTCTCCTCCCAGTTCCAAGGAAATGGGATGAATTGTCCTAAAGTTGGTCATCATAATGATCCAGGAGGGTGCCCAAGGGGCTGATTATGCTGTGTCCACTTGCCCTTTGGAGGATAGCCCCCTTTCCCCTCAGAGATGGTGACCCCAAGGGGCTGCCCTTGCTGCTTAAGAAAAGCAAAGTCAAGAAAATCAGGGTCTGAATTCCAGGTATCAAAGAGCTTCATATCATCTGGGCCTCTTTCCTCCACAGCCTTGTGCAGCATTGGAAGTCCTAAATAACATTACCAACTGCCCAAAAATCGAACCACTTAAGAGAAACATGCAGTTTCTTCTGGGCAACAGCAGTAGCAATGTAAGTTTGTCCATCCCATGGCATTATTCCTAGGGGTCTGCCTCACTTCCTTGGACTACTTTCCAGTATCCAAAACACACTTTGTGTTAGGCCCCTGCCCAGGGCTCCAGGAAGACTCCCTGGCCATACCCACCTGATATACCCAGACTCTCCAGAAGGGCCTACATCAGACTGGGAGGCTGTTGGGGGGGTGGTGGCTTCCAGGCTCCTCCAGCCAGAGGGATGTCATTCTTGAACTGTCACTAAAGGGAGATTTTTCTTTCTTTCAGGAAAACTGCCTCGAGGTTCAAGACACCAAGATCCAGCTGAGTAGGTTTCTGAAGGACCTATACAATTTTTTGTTGAAGAATAATAGAGATGGAATATTGAAACCAAGTCTGGGAAACTTTACTAAAGAATGAGAGCCCAAGCCCACATCTCCAGATGGAAGCTATGAAGATTCATCCTACAGACTAACTTTCACTTTAGGCACATTTCTCAGTGGGGGAGGGGAAGGGATATGAAGGGGAGGGGGAGGGGAAGAGAGATTTGCTTAGCTTAGCCCTCAGCCTGCACTGCCCCATCTCAGGAAAACTGAATTCAAATTACACTTTGCTCTCAGGTCTCCAAAGGGCTTCTTTCTTTCTCAAAGAAGGGGTTCCTGTGAAGCTTACTGAGCCTCAGCCCTGCTCCCGTCTAGACCTCCCCACTACCATCTAAGGCACAGCTTCCGGCTGCTCTGGACTTGACAACCAAGAGCCCTGGCCAGCCCCCAGCCTGGGTTGGAGGAGTTTAGACTTCTGTGGCTTGGAAAAACAAAAACCAAAACAAAAAAGATATGCATTTCTTGTTTGATTTGGCAGCATTACCCAGCACTACCCTCTCCTAACTGGGCAGTCCAGGAGGAGGGGACACTTTTCTGACAGGACCCTGTTGCTCTTTAGGTCTAAGAGAGCAACTTAGTGACATTTCTTCTTGTCTTATTTATTATTTTGTGTTATTTAAAGCAGTTATTCTTTCATGTCTTGGAGATAGGGGCTATTTCGGTAGGCCTAGACAGAGAGGTGAAGACTCAGCATATGGGCACTAAAACCAGTGGACATTTGTGGTCCCTGACATATGTCTATACAGTACTGTATTTCAAAACCTGCTACCTCACTGTGTCCGCTGAGTCAGGTGGGGCCAACCAAAGCCAGGAGGAAGAGAAAGGGCGGAAGAAGAGGGTGATTAATTAGACTGTGACTGGCTTTTCTGCCTCCCAAACTGTTACATGACATTACAGCAAAATGATAATTTATTTTTCTTCCATGTATTTAAAATAAGTTTATTATTAATCTATATTACTGCAGAGTTTATAATATATAGTGGGACAGCCAAGAACACAATTTGTAATATAAATAAGAGGTTTTAGTTAATCAGTTATTTTGTTGCCTGTGTGAAACTAGAAATAAAATAAACAAATGAAATGAAACCTCAGAAAAAAAGAACCCTTGCAAGGTTGAATGTGTGTGTGTGTTTTATATAAGGGACTTTCAATCTGAGGTCACCAGAGCCTCGAGGACTTCACATGCTGGGAGGGGAACCTGGGAGGGAAGGAGGATGTAAGGGTGACCTGGAGAGGAGAGCCACTGCGGGAGGCCCTCAGAAACAACCCACCCCCAAAATGAAAGGGAGAAAAATGGAAAGGGCCACCCAAGGATGGAGGCATGGAGGAAGAAGGAGAAAAATCCAGGGGGAAAAGTCCTGAGTATAAGATCTTTGACAAATCTTATCCAAGCAGGATATATTATTTCCATCTCTCTTTAAAAGAATGATTTCCCCCATAACTTCATTCTTCATAAAAACAGTCCTCTCGGTAATGTAAACCTTGCCAATGGGTGATACAACCTTCCTCATAACAAAGTCCTTTTCATAAGATAGGTACTTTATAACATATCTTCCAATAACATAACTCTCTAACAAAGCACCTCCCAATTAAGTTCTCCTTGTGACATAAACTTTTAAATGCTATCTAATGAATAAAGTGCTTGGAGTCAGAAAGGCCTAGGTTCAAATGCCACCTCTGACATTCACTAGCTGTGTGACCCTGGACAAGTCACTTCAACTTGCTTGAGATCAGTTTCCTCATGTGTAACATGGAGATAATAACTGTACTGCCTACATTGTAGGGTTGACACGAGACAATACATATTGCCAATGTTAAAGTGTATAAATAATTAACAATCATTATTTTTTATTTTCAACACTTCCAACTTCAATGGATCTGGGACTTCCTGGATGCTGGGTACTTTATCCAACAGGACAGATCAAGACTTATCCATGCCTTCTCATTCAGTGTGATTCTTGTCTATGTCCTCCTTTCCCCTACATGGTAGAGATCTTCCTGGAGATCACTGAATCACTGAATTTTAGAATTGGAAGAGATCTCGACAACCATCTAATCCACCCTATACTCCAGAAGGAATTATCACTTCAACATACTTGACGAGTGGTAACACAGTGTCTTTTGGAAGACCACCAGTGAGGAGGGGCCCGGTGAAGGCAACCAATCCATTCCACTTTCATGCTGTTTTATTTTTTCATTTTTTTGAGGCAATTGGGGTTTAGTGACTTGCCCAGAGTCACACAGCTAGTGAGTGTTATATGTCTGAGGCCGGATTTTAACTTAGGTCCTCCTGTCTCCAGTGCCAGTGCTCTATCCTCTGTGACACCTGGCTGCCCCGAAAGCTTTGATTATTAGGGAACTTTCCTGACATCAAACTTGAATTTACCTCTTTGCAGTTTCTACCCATTGTTCCTGGTCCCATCCAAGCCTTGATCCAAATAATTTCTTCTATGGTAGCTCAATGGAATATCTTGAAGCATCTGCCCAGCCATTTGTCTAGAGATAATTTTATGCCAATGATTGGTCTAACTCTAAACAGAGAGCAAGTCCACATAGACCAAAGAAGCCATTCACAAACAATATGGGAAGATTACCAAACAAAACTCGTTTGCTTGTGGAGAAATTCTCCACGGAGAGCCACAAAGTTCATGGAATTCTCAGGGGATCTTGGAAAAGTTCAAATGACCAAGGCCACTAATCTCACACTTGCTCTTTTGTTTCATGCTAAGGGGAAGGGTATGGAAAATATTTCTGTCACCAGGTCACAGGGCTGGGCCATTCCCTTCCTTTCAGAACACATTAAATTATCTCCCTAATGGTATTACAAATGGTCTAAGAGGGAAATAAGAATACACTAGGGAAGAAATGAGAAAGAAATAGGGGGAACTTGCTATTTTTGCATAATTAGGGAGAAAAGTAGACAAATATTGAAGAGGAGTGGGAGGAGAAGATATCTCATGAACCTCACTCATTTAAACCAAGTAAAGTAGAGTCTAACATACAAATGGGAAGAGTTTATTGTAGGAATACACTAAATTTAACAGTGAAAAAAAAGCAGCTGAGAGAGGTTTAAGAGGGAATGTAGAATCAGGGAAGGAATAGTCATAAGCAGTGATAAAGGAAGATAATAACCAGAAAAAGACCCAGTGATAACAACCTAGAATGGTGAAGAGAGGAAGGGATAACAGTGAGATCAGACCACTTCAGTTACAGATTTCTAGTGTTGATCACATTCTTTTTCTTCCACCACTGACTTCTTCTGTGTAAAAGGGGAGGCAAATGTAGGAAAGAAATGCAAGAGAATATTATAGAAGGAAATATACAATTAGCAATATTAACTGTGAATGTGAATGGAATGAACTAACCTATAAAACACAGGAGGGAAGCAGAATCCAACAATATCTTGCTTTCAAGAAATAAATTTGTAACAAAAATTCACATAGAGATAACTTTCATTTCATTTCTTTCTCCAGTTCATTCAACAGATAAGAAAACTGAAGCAAACAGGGTTAAATGATTTGCCCAGAGGTACACAGCTATTTAAGTGTCTGAGGCTGGATTTGAACTTAGGGAGATGAGTCTTCCTGACTTCAGGCCTTGTGCTCTAGCTACTATACCACCAAGCTGCCCAAAATGAGGAGCTAGAACAGAAATTGTTATCCTTCTGGCTAACTAAAAAAAATAGTGAGGGAGAGGGAGCCCTAGCAATCATGATTTCAGACAAGGCAACAGTAAAAACAGACATGGTTCAAAGAGATAAGCAGAAAAAAATACATTATGCTTAAAGGTACTATAGATGATATCAGTATTAACATGTATGTTAAATGGCATAGCATCTAAGTACTTAAATGAAAAATAAAAGAAATCATAACAAATGAAGAACAAATAAAAGGAAATATAAGAAAATATTTTGTCCAATTTTTCAAGCAAAGTACTAATTTAGTGGATTAAATGGATAAATATTTATAAAAATAAAAAATTCAGGGCTCAGAACAAGACATAGATAATTTAAATAAAACAATCACAGAAAGAGAAATTAAACAAACTACAAATACATTTTCAAAGAAAAAGAAATCCTAGGACCAGTGAAATTAAGGATGAATTCTTTTTTTATGAATTCTATTAGATTGTGAACTCTTAGAGGGCAGAGACTTTCCCCTTTCTTTGTACCCACAGTGCTTAGCACAATGCCTGGCACATACTAGGTGCTTCATAGAGGTCTATTGACTGACTATCAAACATTTAGAGAACTATTAACTACAGTTTTACCTAAGTTGTTAACAAAAATTGAGAAATATGACATTTTCTCAAACTCCTTCTATGAGATAAATATGGTCCTGATACCTAAACCAGGAAGAGTTAAAGCAGAGAAATAAAACTGTAGATTAATATCAATGAATATTGATGCAAAATATTTAACAAAATCTTGGCAAAGATCCTACAGCAACATATTAAAAAGATTTTACACTTATATGCTAGGAATTTGGATTGGTTCAATATTAGGGAAATTATAAATATAATACACCATCTTAACAATAAAACAACAAAATTGCATGATAACATCAATAGAAGCAAAAAAAAAACTTTTGACAAAATAAAACACCTGTTTAGTTTAAAATCTCTAGAAAGCATAGGAATTAATGGATCTTTTCTCAATATCATAAATACAATCTAAATAAAACCAAGAACTAGTATCTGTAATGTAAAAACCAAGTTGGGAAGAGGTAGAGCAAACAGGTGCAATTGCCTGAAATCAGAAAAAGGTGTCCCACTCCTCCAAGTGTCTGTATTCAATCAAGGAACAAGGAAGCAGTAACAGACTGATCAGTATGGGGCCAATTTTCAGATAAGACATATGAGTTGCTTGAGATGTAGAATTGTGAGAAAACTCATTGCATCAATCTTCAGAGCTGACTGGGTTTCTGGTCAGCATAACCTAGATCCTTAGTTAAGGGTCTCTAAGTAGCAGGTAGTCCAGTTCTTAGCCATACAGGGTGAAATTCAAACAATGCAGTAAAATTTTGTCACGATTCCTATAAGTGAGTAAAATTTTCTCACGAGATAGAAATTGGACTAGCTCCATAATTGAATAGAAAAGGAACTGGGGTAGCTCCAGAATTAAGTCACAAGACAGAGTCTGTGTGGTTCACTCAATTTCCACAATTCCCTCAACTCAAAGATAGATATGAAGAAAATTCATCAAGCTGGAGAAGGGGAAATGTGGGAAGAGGCGGCTGACCAAAAGAGGTAACTCTGGGGTTGAGGCTGTAGTTTGGACCAATCAAGAAGTGTCAGAACAAATGTTGTTTTGTGGAAACCTTTCCCAAACCACTGAATAGAGACCCCAAGGTGGTAGTTCTGTATCTCCTTTCCCCACTAGGACTCTGTCATAGAAACCTGAAATCTTTCCCTCTGGGCACAGGAATGCCTTTTTATCTTTTTGGGTTTAGATGGTTGTTTTTATCTTTATGAAGAGCATTAACATTTGCTAGTCTGGGTGTCCCTACTGGAAATTTAGTTGAGAAGAGGCAATTTGAG